CATATAACCAAGCTCCTGTTGGATATTTACTTTAAAAAAAGACATCCTCAATGACATTTAAGTTAATCTCACTTGCTTCAGATTTTAACTTTAAAAAGTTGCCCTGTTATTTTTAATCCGGATATAGTTGGGATGAAGATGTAATTGCAATTTTAAATTAACTTGTCTTGTACCTTCAGAGACAACATAATAAAAGTAATTTTGTAGAAAAGTGACCTTTCCTGTATAGTCTTCAGCAGGATGTACCCCACCAATAATGAACCAATATTCTAGATTCTATTTTCGGTGGGGATGAGGGGGGAAAGGCATATGTTCTATTCATAACAATTCCATTACATTTCTCTTGAGTTGACTTCTCATCCTAATCCAAGTATGTTTAATTTACATGTAAAATGAAAACAACAAATTAAGCACCAACAAGTTCAGCGATACTTCTTCCTAAGTAGGGTGTTAATCTTTTAACCAAGGTTTGAACAGAAACACAATCCTGTGACCCTTATTAATAGTGCTGACATGTTCTGTGCTTTCAAAGTTATTTTGGACTACCTCCTTTGAGCTACGTTTGGTTCTGCTTAGTTCAGTACTGTGGGTGATCAGACCTTAGCAGGATGCTGGTATGATCATGAACTCTTCCCAAGGAAAGACCTGGAGTTTGGGTGGTCAGAATAGATAGAAACCTGAACAGGACACAGCTCTCCTCCATCCCTCTTCTCTCAGCTGACCTCATCTCCTTATGCTAATCGATTTCTTATTAAACATTATACGGGGTATTTCAGTACACACTCTGCTTCTGAACAGCATAAAGTTTAACAGAGTTTCTAATATTATGCCTAGTGTTTTTGTCCTTCAATCACCTTCTGAGTACATACTAACCCTGGGCCTATAATCACCACCTGTCGCCAATGGAGATATTACCTCTGCTCAGGTTCTTTGTCACTGCGCCTCCCAAGACAGCGACAGGTACCCTCTCAGCCCCAATAAGTACCTGAATCTTCCCAAGCTCATGGGCGTCAGGTAGACCTTGGAGTCCCCAGCTGCTATTGGTGGAATCAGCTCAACCGCACTGAGGTTGGATGCCGGGCCCTGCCCTGTGCCCTGGTGAGGTCACCGTGTGACCAAAAATCTCTGCCTGCTTTGCCCCAACACACTCCCACAGACACCTGTGCCCGAGCGGAGCGCCCACGGTGGGGTGTGTGAAAACGGACTGAAAGCGGAGTCCAGGGCTGAACCTGTCCACACGACGACACTCTCCCCAGTTTTTTACCCACTGCAACTTCGTCCTGCAGGGAAAATAAGCTCTGTATGCTGAACCACCTAACCCAGCTGACGTTCGCCCCAGAGTTCGTAAAGAATTTCAGGAAACCTCAAATTCTAGGTACGATCCCTGTCTGACATTGCTCCTCCAGAGCACACATGCCTTTCACCTCACTGGGAATTCGATGGAAACTTAGAAAGTTGATAAACCTGAAGACGACCTGGAGGCTTAGGATGGACCAGCCCCTGTGGCATAAGAAGTCCCGAAGCCCTGCGGGATGGGAGGAAAGGAGAAGAGCGCTTCCAGGGCAGAGACTTAGAACTACGTCCACAAAAATCTCACATCAAACGCAGTGACTAAGGACTAGAGACTTTCTTCAAACACTCACTAGAAGGGGAATGGCATGAACACAATGATTAACATTCTGTCAGTCTTGTTCAGAGGAAGTCTGTTGATGGTGTCGCTGTATGGCTCACAAAGCACAAACCCTGAAACTGGAATCCTGGGGTTCAAATCCACACCCCCTCTCAAATTCACACCCAGAAGCTGGACAAGTTTATTTGTCCTGTGCCTCAGTCTCACCTATGAAACAGGGAGAACAGTAATGACCTCGAAGGAGTGCCACGAAAGCTGAGTTATTATGGAGAAAGTCCTTAGAACAGTTGTTGGCTCATAAAAAGGACCATGCATGTGTGAGCTATGGCGATTTTATGAGACAGTAGAAATAGGGTCATTCTTTTTCAAACAATAGCACCTTAAAAGGAGAAAGCCAAGATAAAAAATATATAAGAATGTCTTCCTCACTGAATAAAAAGCAATGATAATGAAATAAGAATATATATATATTTTTAAAGCTAGAGTAATATAAAAAAACACCCTTTGACTTCTCTGCCTCTAGCCATTAGTTAGGATAGGCAGCCCCATTTACAATTCTTCAATGCGTGACCTTCGTACCAAAGGGAAACAAAACCAGTCACAACAAAGTACCGTGCGTTTTACACCTGGCAACAGAAGACCGTGTTAAGAATCTGAAGAAGGAAGCAGTGCATTTGGGACGCAAGTTGGCACTCATAGGCGTCACCTGACATGTCGCATTGTAGTGACAGCGATTGACGTTCCACCACAGGGCACTGCACCGAAGTAGTTTGGAGCCCAAGTGAAAAGCGTGCATCATCCTCCGATAAAGCGCGAGCAACTCCTGGGGAAAGCTAGAGCAAAGGACTGGGCTACCGTCTTAGCAAAAGATCATGGCATGGGTTTTCTATATGAAGTCATATCTCTTCACACAACAGAAATTGCCGTCAGTGTCTTTAATACCGCCCTCTCTACCTGATATAACAGTAACTTGTTGCTCCATGGCTACTAATTGCAGATGGCAGTCATTTAAGGCCTTGAACAGTCTTGTCAACACCATGGGTAGGTTGTATCAGGATTTGAACCCTTCCCCCCAAATTGTGTGTGCGTGTGTATATGTGTCTGTGTGATACTTCTAAGTTAGTTTTTCATAGCAGAGCTTCCTCTGCTTTGGTAATAACATTTCACAACAGACTTATCCGATAAGAAATCAGACATACATTTTGACATGTATTGATTTTGATCATTGGCATAATTACCGGCAGACCAAATATTGGAACTGTAGTGGAAATGGAAAGTGGTGGCATTTAAAATTCATCTGCATAGAGAGTCATTTCAGAACTATGGGATAAACTGTCTTTCTTTAAAAAAAAAAAAGAGAGAGAAAGAACATATTTTCATGAATATCTACAAAAAGCCTATTCCAAAAGCATAACACTCATTTCTGAGCAAAGGCTACCCCTACACAGGCAGGCCCACAGTTACAAGTTTGAATGTGAAATCAGTCACATGACAATGGATGTGTTCTTCTAGACAAAGTTCCCACCTTTTCCTATTTGGTCTTTGAAGTAAAGTGAAATGACTTAAGTGATGTAGGTGGATTCGGGACAGGTTGGCGAGGAAAGGACCCCTAGGCCTTGAAGAAGTCCCACCTGTCGGGAGGGGGAATGGGCTGCTTGGAGGTGGGCGTCTGGGTCCAGGTGGAAATGACTACGGTGGCTCAGCCTGGTGCTAAAAACAGCTCTAGGCACCGAAAACTGTCCACACTGCTGCTTCCTGGGTACCTTTGGAGGGCTGGCCCCAGACACATGTTGTTCTGAACTGTTTCTTCCTAAGGGAATAGTAGGGGCGATCCCATAAAGAAAAAAGAAGGAGGAGGAAGAAGACTAAACTAAATCCTGTAACGGAATCAGCGAGGCAGCTCTCTCTGGGCACCTCGCCTGAGTTAGCAGGTCCTAAGTACCAGCCAAGAACGCCAACAGTTCGTCCCAGGAACCTCGGAGGAATGGATTCGAACTACAGGTGGACCTCATTTTACTGCACTTTGCTTTATTGCACTTCACAGGTGTTGTGTTTTTGTTGTTTTATTTTTTTATAACAAACTAAAGACAAGAGGCTCCACCAGCAACACCATTACAATATGCTTTTTTATGCTGGTCTAGAAATGAACCTGCGATATCTCGGGGGTGCACCTGTGCTGGGAAAATCTCAAGGATCCCCCTTCCGTTGGTATGGGGTATTCCCCATTTAATGAATGAACAAGGGTGTTATTAAAGAAAACGTAACTACAACAGAAAAGAGGTGTTTCATCGCCTAAGTTTTAAAAGATTCATGACACACACACAAGCACTTCTGCGTTTCGAAAAGCACCCATTTTCTGAGACACAGGGAGATAAAACACTTCATGACTCAATGACACACAGCTCTTCGAACAACCAGAGTACCAGTCTGCAGGAGCAGGCAGAGCAGAAAGGCAGTACGTTTTAAAAAACCAGTTCTCTTGGACTAATTTTCTACTGCACTCCTAAGGAATTCCCACAGTCTCGGGAGACAAACAGCACAGGTATGTTTCTTACCGTCCTGCAGGTGAGCATCTGATGCAGGCCTTTTGGGCCGACAGCAAGGTGTCTGCTGAGCTGGTGACGTGCGGGAGGGTCCAGGTAAGACTTTGCTTCTTGGCCTTTGCCACACCACCCATGTTCTTTGGTTTTCAGCCTCCCCCCAACTTATTCTAGCTTCAAAACCAGCAACATGCTCCTCTCTGAGCAAAGGTGTGCAGAGTGCTCAGCTTTCAAAGGGTCACGTGATGAGACGGGCGCCACCTGGGTAATCCGAAATACTCTCCCCACAGCTGAAAGTCTTTACCTTTAACAGTGCCTGCACCAACCCTTTGCCAGATAAGGGAGCGTATTCACAGGTACAGATATCTAGAGGGTCATTATTCTGTTTCAATGACATTAATTTTTTCCCCAGTGAATTTACATTTTCTTCACAATAATTTTTTTAAATTCCTTCTCAGTTGCTGTCTACCCTAAACATGCCTATATGTATACAGATTTGCTCCGAGTTAAAAATAAACATAAAGGAGAGCTTATTTTTATGTTAATAATAACTAAATTATATATAAACTGGGAATGTTGAATCCTGCCTAGTTTCATAAAAACAATAGTGGATGATCACTTTACTTCTGTGAAAGAGTAAGCTAGATCTTCTTAGGAAATTACTAAATATGGAGTCAAGTTCAATGACAATAGTTCCTGCTTTCGTGTGATTCTTTTGAAGAGAGCACTAAGCATAGCACTAATGTAATAGCCTGATGGTAAAACAATAAAAACCTAAAAAGACATCCTGATGTAGCTGTCCCAACGTTTTCCATAAACACAGCACTTACCTGTGGCTGATTCCTGGTGCAAGTTCTCCAAGGTCGAGAGAGCAAAGGCTTGCCACCCTACCGTCCTCACATAAGGTGTCTGGGTACAAGGGACCGGTTCAGTGCAGCACCACTCCTGACTCCTGGGAAACAGGGGAGAGAACTTCCTTAAATAACAGCTGATCCTGGCATGGGCTTGGTTCTTCTGGATGTTCTGTAGTTACATAAACTCTGAGTAGGAAGCTAGGGTTTGAGCCAGTTCATGGAGGATCCAACTCGGCCCTCCAATATCTCCTGAGGGATCCCATAGGTAAAATGAATCCACTCTGAAATGACCTTCAAACAAATGCATCCCTAGTTAATAGGAAATTCAAGGTTAATTCTGTGTTTAAAACGCCCAGAGTGATACTGTGACTTACAGTAGTTAATAAAGAATGTATGTGAAATAATGTGCTAGAGAAAAATCCCAGCTGACTGGACATTGTGTGTCTTGCAAGGGTGGTTAAGATTTTGGGGAGTGGAGAAAAGGAAAGACTACTCTAGACTTCAATATGGTTACTTTGTAAATCAGAGTTCGTCCTGACAGTGCAGAAACTCCCATTGTCCCCAACATTGTCCCCAGACCATCTAATCAACAGAAGGATTTTCAACAGGAATACAATGTGTCACCTTGGCTTTTAAACTGTGGTCAGACAGCACATGGATGCAAAAGAAATGCTTATTCTGCAAGCAACTGAAGAAAGCTAGTGGCATCTTAAGAGCAATAAGTAGAAATACTTTTATGTAGAGTTACATTTAGTTAGAGTTGCCAACACGTCCTCATTCCTTTTATCTCTTGAAGTTAGGTAGTCGGGATTCATACAGTGCTGTCCAATCTATGAGGGCAAAGCGAAGAGTCTAAACTTGTGGGGAAAGGTTTGGAGATCTAGGATAAGGTTTCTTAGAATGGAGACCTGGGTACTGGATAGCGTGACTCAATGGATTGAGTGCATGCCTGGGAACCAAAGGGTCAACAGTTCGATTCCTAGTCAGGGCACAGGGCACTGGGTTGCAGACCAGGTCCCCAGTAGGGGGTGCTCAAGAGGCAACCACACACGGATGCTTCTCTCCCTCTCTCTAAAAATAAGTAAATAAAATCTTTTTTAAAATGGAGACCTGGGAGTTTTAGTAGTTTATTTCTTTGTTATAGAAATCTGTATTAATTTCCTGGTATATCCTATCTGTCTGCTAATTTATTTAAAAGATATTCATTCTAAGAATAAATGATGTTACATTGTTTCCCATGTTCAAATTAACCTTTAGTAAGCCATAAAAAAATCAACAATGGAAAACCAAGCCTAAAGTTAGAAAATCTATTTATGTGCCCATCTATATCACGGAAATTATTACATATTTCTAAGTGTGAATATGCCAAAACAGACCTTCTTTATAAGAATGGGTGCTACACACAGTTTGCAAAAGTCTGATACCCTTCTCTTTACCCTTTTCAGCTTGGTTTGCAAGATGTCTAACTTCAACACGTATTTTATAAAGTAGATAGAAGACCCAGTGATGCCACTTCTGGGAATTTATTTGAAGAAACCGGGCACAGTCATTCAAAAGAACCTAAGCACCCTATGTTTACCACAGTGTCCTTTACAGTCATCGAGATTTGGAAGCAGCCCAAGTGCCCATCAATAGGTGAGTGGATACAACCACCGGGCACTTACAGAAATATTATTTTATCAAACCTGCTGAACATATTAAAAAATCACTCATTTTTAACGCCACAAAAGAACACAAAATATAGCCTATCAATAGCCTACACTGATATAACCAAAAATACAGGCTATCAGTTATTTAGCCTATCAGTATCAGGCTTGAGAAAACAACATCCAATTATTCCAACTCCAACTTCTGTTCAGATGTGAACAGAATTGTACCAGGGATTGCAGCCTGGAATGGGCGTCGCTAATCCAGTTTCCAGAAGCCCTCAGAGTGCATTTCAGGAAGTTGTTGAGTTGATGCCTGGGAGACATCGTGTATGTGTTTGCAGAATAAAATATTGCTCATTCTAGGGCCCTACCCAGATTCCGTTTACAAAAATTGGGTCAAAACAGGGAATAATTTTTCTCTAGGAATTTAGGTTTCTTTGATGAGCTTTTAAATATTTGTTTATACATCATTAACCACTTAACAAAGAGGCTGAAGAATTGCAGACTTAACTCTGAATGTAGATTGCCCCTGAAGGACCATTAGAACTCAATGTACTATGGTCCCGTTACTAGAATCAAACATAAAAGTTAGGACACAAAAGGTATGTTTATGGAGAACTGTTTGATAAATAGATACAAAGAAAGTTATACCAAGATTCTAGGGGACTTTTACACCTGACTCTTGTTTCTTTAAAAATGTCTGTCTTGTTCTAGCTGGTGTGACTCAGTGGATTGAGTGCAGGCTGCAAGCCAAGGGGTCACCAGTTCGATTCCTAGTCAGGGCACACGCCTGGGTTGCAGGCCAGGTCCCTGGTACAAGGCCCTGATACAGGGCCCACGAGAGGCAACCACACACTGGCAATCATCTGCCTCTCATTCTCCTTCTCTTCACCTCTTTCTAAAAATGAATAAATAAAATCTTTTAAAAAATGTCTGTCTTCTCTTAATCATGAAATAAAGATCAAATGAATTTTAAAGGACTTTAAATGCAATACTTTAAATATCATCTACTAAGCAAGAAAAATGATAAGAATTATAATTGTCTTCAGTGATTCTGCTTTGTTTGTTTCTGTTCCTGGTTTTCTCCTCCACATTATTTCTTCTCTTCAGTGGAGAATCACTATCCACCTAAGAAAGTCCCAGATGATCAAAGAATCCCACCACCATGCAGTCACTAGATACTTCAGATAATAACACATTTGCAACAGACTGCTATCAATATCCTTTACTGTCTTTGATAATGTTGCAAACATGTTCTTTCTAAGGATTTATGAATTAAGATGATCATAAAATAAGCAACAACTCTGATTTTATGAATCTTAAAAATGAAGAAAAAAACACTTTCTCTATTTCCAACTCTCTACCTGGTTCCCATTTCAGGGATCAAAATTTCTCTCTTAAAAAAGAAAGATGATGGAAAAGAGAGGAAGGGAGGGATGGAGGGGCAAACAAGAAAGATGGTTGAGATATGAAAGGTGCTTCTGACAACCACTAGCCTTAGAAGTTAGTACTTGCTAAGACAGTCGTCTGCAAAAGCATACTATTTAATCCTTAGCCAAAAGAAAAACCAAGCCAGCAATTATGTAAACTGATCTACAGAAAGTAAACCTCAATTGTTATTTTGTAATTGTTTGTAATGTATTCATTAATAGTACAATTACTGTGTGGTAATCCTATCAAGGGTTTGGATAAAATTTATGCTGCTGCTGGCCTTGTTCTTTACCTAAAAATGCTAATACAACCTTCACATTGAGAATTTTAATATATTGATCTATCAGTTGGCAATCTGTGGGTCAGCAGAGTTGCACTCGCTGCAGGTCAAACAATTCTCTGTATTGCAAAGCAATATCCACATGTACACAGTTGCTCTAAACATAAAGTGTCAGCCTGTGGTTTCATTCATTCCATAAATATTTATTGAGCACACTCGGCGGGGGGGACTGCTCTGGGGACATGGCCACTGTGGTAAACACAACATAGCTTTTTTAGGTAGAATATTTATTCAAGGAAATACTTTGTCTTCTAAATTAAGGGGCTGATTCTTTAGTGGCACAAATAAATGCATGGTAAGTTAACAAGCAAACTTTTCTAATAGTTACCCCGTATTTTTCTGCTCTTGCTTTTTCACTGTATTTTTTTTTTATTTCCAGAGTATTCAGTCTGCAGGTTGGTAGCTATATCCTCTTGTTAAGTCAACAATCCAACTAATCTATCAGTAGGTATTCTCAGTTTTGTATTAAATGTGATAATAGGTTTTACAAATTCTCCAAACTGAGAAATCTTAGCAAATGCTAAGAGTGTCAGTAAACACAGATTAACTGTTCATCGCTGACTGAACATGAGTGGATTGGGTCATTACTACAGTTGGTAAGCTTTAATTATTTTATTTCTTGATACTTTGAACTTAGAAATATGTATCACATCAGACTTTGATGATTGAATCTCGGCACCTACAAACTGGCCCCAGAGATTCACTCTCATTGACCTAATGTTAGTCCCACTGAACATTCAAATTTACTTCGGCGTCTTCAGAATGTTCGGCAAGACTCGAACACTTAAAAATGAAGGCTCATCTTGGATCGTTCATTCCGGGTGTTGGGCTTCGGTTGCTGCAGATAAGCTTTTTGAAGTGTTTTAAATGTCTATCCTATGCAATTTAGTCTGCAGATAACTGTGATATGAAAAAATACCAAAAGGGAGCGTTCTACGGAAATAATACCTTTTTTTTGAACAAGTCAAATTGCCTGTCCTTGAGGTGCTTTATTGGTATGGCATGTGAAAACACTTCCTTCAACAATGCGCTGACCTTTCAAAGTTGGTGGTTCCAGCTCTTTTAGAAAGCTTTTGAAATTATGTAATAGTCTGTACTGCATTTTACCTTCTGTACTTATAATTCATATGAATCATGTTCCTTACACTTGATTTTCCCTCTTATCTGTTTCCAAGTAATACAGTGAGACACTTCTAAATGTAAACCATTTGAAGAAAAGATTGAAAATATGCCCGTTATTTGAAAGGAAAGACAAAATGATGGTTGGTTCTTATTTTTTTTCGTCAATTTTCTCTAACTTCTCACTTATCCGGTCAATGGAAAAAATGGACCTATTATTGAAAAGGGGTTTGTTTATCTGGGATTTCTCGCAAACACCTGCAAAAATGTGTCATTACTACAGATAAACTCATGGTGAAGGACGTGCTGATGTGTCTAAGGTATGCAAATTCATGCACACCAATTAATCTGTGATTTAGAGAAATCATTATTAGTTACAACGCATTGCGTCTTCAGTGAGAAGGATGTACGTGTGACATTTGCTGTCTGCATATCTCAGGAAGGACATGCATCATCGTATATTTGGCAGCACTGGAAAGAAATAACACATTTTAAAGTAATTTTGTAATGTGGGACGCTACAAGTCTGCAGGTGTCTGTCTTCGGAAATGCTACCCAAT